GTTTTATAACTATATATACAAAATCCAGACCTTAAAACCTTGTGAAATGAAGAGGGACAAAGTTTATCATAAGGTATATAGGCAGAGGTTAAACCCCCTTCCGTGCCTCCACATATGCAAATCATGAAGAATTATTATGCCAATAATAGAAGCATAGAAGAGTGACCACAGAAAAAGACCAGGTGGTCCATCAAGTCTGACACTTTTTTGATTGTCTTGCTTTTTTTTCTACTTTTCACCTTTCTCTGAATATAAATCTATGTTTGTCTTAAGCATGTTCAAATTCACTTACTATTACCTCTTCTGGGAGTCTTCTTCTATACTTTTCCAAAAAAATACTACTTTCTAAGGTTGGTTGTGAACTTTTCTCCTGCTAGTTTGAGGTCATGTTCCTGGGTATCTACAGTCTCTTCTGATATGTTTTATTCCTCAGACCTTTCAGAATTTTTGTTGCCCATTATAATGGTTAGTTAAACCCAAAAATGCTTTTTCACCAGCACTTTTCCAAACAACTAATTCAATTATATAGATGATGGATGAAAGGTTTAGTGCATTCCAACACTTTTGTTAGTTAAATATGTTAACATATGCAAACCTACATATTTTACTTGCTTTTTGCTTGTATTCTCACACCCTGAAATTGTAGTTAAGCTGGCTAATAATAGACTGAAATTTAGTAGGCTCAGCAGGAACTGGCCACATTTTAAACCAAGTGTGGCCATCCCAACTCATTTGAAATTGGCTTCTGTTGAACATATAAGTTGGAAAATGGCTGCATCTACTGATCAGTGAATTCTGAAGGAGAATCGCGCTGTCAAAATACAATGGTGGGGGAATTTCTCCATCTACTTTGCTTGTGTAGATAGAGGAATCTGTGAACCTTCTATGGCCAGCTTTAGCTTCTGGTCCTATCACATCTCTTGTCTTGAGCTCTGAAAATGCATGTATAATACATGTAAAAATGTATATAAATCCATAGCCAATTTTTTTACAGATTTTTTAAAAATTCTTATTCAAGCTGAAAATGCTTGTAAAAGGAAGTGGAAAATGTTGCATGTCCAAACATACTGTTTGGTGAGAACAGGACCACTTGAAAATAATGCAAAGACTGTACTATGCCTACTTTGTCAGAGCAGAGAGGGAGATTGGTGTGTATTTCTGCAGGATGTAAAGCTCAGCATTTGTAGACTATTTTACTACTGCTGACTGCAAACAAAGTGCCTGTCTTTCTTTATATTATACAGCCTATAGCTCTGTCCTTCTATATTTAATATCAAAGTTAAAGAAAACTTGTACAGAGAAAACATGTAGAACACTGCTGACCTCTCCTTTAAAAATGATCACTGCCTGGCTGCCAGGCTGATCTAGTGGTTTCAATACTTTGAGGCACAGACGTGGAAAAAGAACATTATGCAGATGTACAAGTAGACAAGCGGACCAGGGGTTCTGACTTCACTGTTCTAATCTGCATGCTCCTTCCATGTCAGTGACTCAGAAACCTTGAAGTCAGAGAAACAGCTAGTATTGCAGAAACAACTAGTATTTTTGGGAGAAGGTCAGCAATGGCAGTCGCTATAAAAATTTGTAAAAAAAAAAAAAATAGGCCGCACATATTTGGTATATTATACAAAGCAACTGTGACTCCCCACAACAGCTTTATAGTTTAAAGAAGCAAAAAGTAAAGCGAAAAAGCCTACATCAAAAAATCAATATTCATCTATAATTTTTCTGATAACAGATACAATTTTATAGGCTTCCATAACTCAGTCCACTTTGACATTATTACTGTTTACTTTGCCTTATTATTACTAATCTGCATTTAAAGGACAAGTGTACGTTTAGCACCAACACAATATTTCATAGCCTTTTTTTATTCTTTATTTTGGATTTTATGCATACAAGAATGAAAATAAAACATACACAGTGTATACGATCATATACTTAGCATAGTATTACAGTGAAATAGTCAAGAAAAAAAGATACACAAGAGTGGACACCAAACAAGCTCAAAAAGGTTTTCATGTAGCCATGATGGCCTAACCCATATTATTATTAAAAAAAAAAAAAAAAAAAAACATAAAAAAGAAGAGGGTTAACATCCTCGGTTTTGAAAACCCCTTAGCCTTTTTGAGCTACACTAAACAAAGTCTCTGCACCCCTGGATGCTGAGGCCTGATTCAAGCTTTGTTTTCATCCTCAGGTCACAATCCTTTTGATGCTTGCAAACTGCACTACAGGACCATCTGTTGAGACTGGAGATCCTCTGAAGACAGTTTTAATAGTCCACAAATGCTCACTAAGTAGCCACAGCAATGTTGAAAAGGCTTACAGCTGGAGGATAAAAACTAAGCCATGGTTGAGAGCAGCCGCTTTGTTTTATTCCTGGGGTAGGTAAGTAGTTGTAATGTGGGGTGTCCAGTACAGTGTTTTACTTAAAGTTGTTCTAAAGTCTCAAGGTTTTTTTTTTACCTTCATGCACTCTATGCATGAAGGTAAAATCCTTTTGTGTGCAGCGACCCCCCATCCTTACCTGAGTCCCCTCTGATCCAGCAATGTTCACAATAGCCTCGGCTATATGGCCCAATAGCTCCTGCTGCTGTCAACCATAGCTAGTGATCCAATGAGAAGAGGGTGGGGCCGAGCAATGGCTCTATGTGTCTTATGAATGCACAGAGCTGCATGTAGCAGTGCCCCCAGGGTAAGCAGATTTCCCTGGGGGCACTGCTCGAGGGGGAGGAGCCAGAGCTCCAGCGGGGGACCCTAAAAGAGGGATTGGGGCAGCTGTGTGCACAACTACTTCACAGAGTAGGTAAGTATGAAATGTTTATTTTATAAAAAAATAAACAAAAAAAAAAAAAAACAACAAAGCTTTAGTATCACTTTAAAGTACACAAATATCCCCACCCACAAACTGACTCAACTGTTCCTTCTGCATAGTACATACCACAATCCCAAGAAATTATTTGCTTAGCAACACAGATAATCCACTTTGTCCCAAGTATAATGAGGGCCAGGCCAATTTAATTCACATGATATGGTGATGCCCTAACTCCATCGCTATTGGAAATGTGTTATAACTACTATGAACTCTGTTTTTCTGGTAACTTTGATGGAAGACCCTGGTATTTGTCTCTTGAGTATGTTAGAAGAATCTGCTTTGCCTGAAAATACTTTTATACCCGATGTTAGGGTTCTTTTACAGACTTGTAAGCTTATAGCCCAAAAATGTCACAACCATTGACCCTAGCTGAGTGGAGGACATAAATAAATGATACTTAATCCAGGGAAAAACTTGTATTCCTGCATAGAAACTGTCCCATGAAATTTGAAAAGATCTGGAACATATGGTTAGCCACCCCAGGCCTGGCCACTACATCCCTTATTTTAAATAGGTTACTACAGTAGCCTAGAGGAGATCTGCACACCATGCTCTACTGTAATAACGCCTCATGTTCTGTTTATCCTATATGTGGTATTGCTGTTTAATAGTGACCTTCCATGTCAATAAACCAAAGTTGAGTTTTATAGCACGAATATGATTCTAGGGCACAAAAAAGGTGTATGTGTTAGTCCCATGTTGTTTGTACACCAGATTATATTGAGACTACCTTGTTCTTGCCACTATGACTTTGGGTCCATGAGAGACTTATATTTTGTGACAGTTCATGTACCGCTGTACTGTACACCATCACAATACTGCTTTATAACAGACCTTTTCCATATTTGATTTTTTTTATTATTTTTCTCGACCCACTGAGAGTGTAATGCTCTGGTAATGGGTTGTTCATTTTGTTGTATGTTTACTACTTCTAAAATCTAAAAAAAAAAAGCATCTGATTAAAAAAAAAAGTAAACACATACTTTAGGACAATAAAAGAGATTAAATATATCAAAAGGGTTACATTCACAATAAAAGCATACCAGTGAATGTGAAAATACTTATGGCCTGATAAAACCAACCATCCTGTAAATGTCTGGATACAGTAAAGAGGGAGTGTGGCAGGCTTGATAGGACAGTCTAGGCAGGTTTGCCCTGCACTTTTATTCAGAAAGGCAACAAACGAACACAATGTAATGCAGGAGGGCTCTGTACAGCAAGTTCATAGCATACAACAAACAAACCGATCATCTGTTTGTCTGTGCCACTAAGGTCTAGTTCACACCTATGCCTGTTGCAATTTGCTGTGGGAAAAAAGGCCCTAACCCTTTCCAAAAATGCAGCGGATGAAAACACATAGATGTGAATGCGTCCCATAGGAAACCATGTTACATGGACTGTAGTTAGTTTCTGCAAAACACAAAAAGCACTAAAACACGCACAGGTGTGAACCAGGCCGCAACTCATGTCAATTCCTGACTTAATAAGGGTCCCCTAATATGATGAAAAAAGAAACAGGCAACCAATACATATACCTTTTCACTGTTCTATTGGCAGCCTGTCTCTCAAAGCAGAAAGGAGGAGAGAGCCTTGAGCATCAGTCAGCTCACAAATAAAAAGACCTGTGGACAGCTGACTACTAATTAATAAGGTCTACTATGATGGATGTGGACCTACGGATGGAGGCTTTTCCCACACAAAAGTCTCTAAAGTCTCTGTGCTTTAGAACTCAGGACAGGAATTTTTAAGACTCTGATAAAACTCCATGAATTTCTACATCAAGCACAAATGCTGGCGGTCCTCATGATGTATAGGTGAGACACCTAGGTGACACATATACCATGTCCACAACCCTGCCAGCCAGTGCCTACCAATGCATATAAATAATTAGTTTCTATACCATGTTGGTTAGATTGGAATCAAACAAGTGAACTAAGACTATAAAAAGCAGACAGGCCGCCTGCCACATAAGGAAATGACGGTTGGCCATGGTTCTCTTGTTCTGGGAGGCATCCTCCAATTCTAACTGCACATGCATGCCCCCAGGTGGTGTGCTGTGTCCCTGGGACACAGTGGATCATCAATCAGAGTAAAGAGCCAATGACGTTGGCTCTATCATGTGATCAGCTGCATCCAATCACAGCTGATCGCATGTAAACAAGGAAATGCAGGTTATCAGCAGTCCTCTCCTCACACCGTAGAGAGGAGAGCCGGAAAATGGCATTCCTCAGAGGGGACATCCACACTGATCATCAGGGCACTGATAATCAGTGCTCTGATGATCAGTGTAGCCCCATCAGTGCCATCTGTCAGCGCCCATCAATGCCATCTGTCAGTGCCCATCAATTTCACCTGTCAGTGCCCATCAATGCCACATACCAGTGCACATCAATGTCACATAAAAGGTGCCTACCAGTGCACATCAATGCCACATATCAGTGCCCATCAGTGCCAATCAGCCAATCACTGCTGCCTATCAGTGGCCATTAGTGCTGCCCAACAGTTCGAATGAGTGCCGCCTAACAGTTCCAATCAGTGCCCATCAGTGCTGCCTATCAGTGCCATATATGAGTGTTGCCTTTCAGTGCCCATCAGTGATGCCTGTCAATGCCTGCAAGTGATGCCTGTCAATGCCCATCAGTACCACCTACCAGTGCCTTCTCATCAGTGCCCATCAGTGCAGCCCATCAGTGCCCATCACTGCAGCTTCATTAGCGCACATCAGTGAAGGAGAAAATTACTTATTTACAAAACTTTTTTAGTTTGTTTAGCAAAAAATAAAACCCAGTGGTGATTAAATACCACCAAAAGAAAGCTCTAACTGTCTCAAAAAAAGGATAACAATTTTTGTTTGGGTATAGTGTTGCATGACCGCACAATTGTCATTCAAAGTGTGACAGCGCTAAAAGTTGAAAATTGGCCTGGGCAGGAAGGGGGTAAAAGTGCCTGGTAGGCAAGTGGTTAAAAAAAGAGCGAAAATGTTTGAATGCAAGTTCATAATGTAAACCTGCTGTAAACAAACTTTTAAACACAACTCTCTATCCTGTATTGGGGATTCTCCAGTACCTATACTTACCTTGAGGTTTAATTGCCCAACAACCCCTGATATACAGTGGACAACTATTGGCAATATCCACCGTATCGATAACTGGACATTCCATGGTATGCTCCATGGCCCCATGAAAAAGTGCTGGAGCCTGGTGACTGGTCATTTATTAACCAGCTTTGTTGAGGTCAATTTTTTCACACATATGCTAAAATCTGCATTTTTTTTCCCAGAAATCACTTTAACCATTTTTGATGTCGTTTTTGCATTTTTTTAACACATTTTCACACAAAATTGCACAAAACCTCCAAACATTATATATTTTCTGAAAGCAGACACCCTACACCCTGGTAGCTTCAGTCTTTTATGGCACACAAAATTATTGCAAAGGTCTAAGAAAGGTCTAAGAAACGGAAAAGTTCAGTTTTCACACTAATTCACAAAAAAATCCATGAAAGTGAAATTTAGGGCAAACAACCACAATAAATTACCCCAATATTTGCTCAAAAATAAAAGACGTGGTTACACCGAGTAAATAGATACTCAACCTGTCAAATCTAAAATTTGTTGGTACCTGTGAAATGGCGACAAACTTCAGTGCCCTATATTTTCTAAAGGTTATGCTTCAAAACCCCCCTATAGGTCATCTGTTTAGTGCCAAGGAGGAGGTCTTGTGGTAGAATTATTGCTCTCATTCTGGCATGTGCAGCGATATGTACGTTTACATTCATACATGCATATATGAGGGGATGGGGGGGCCTCAAAATGTTTTGGGAGGGAAATTTTATATGCTTGAATGTAACTTTTTTATTTTTCAATCACACAGGGAATGATTTTTTTGGTGTCAGGTTCTCTTTAATGAGACATGCAGGGTCTAAAAGACCCTAATGTTGGGGCATGTAGGGGGCGGCACCACTACCAGGGGTGTGTGAAGCAATTGGGCGGCAGCACAGCCACCTGAATGCTTCCACCTGACAGGCAGGAGTCTGCTTGTCAGTTTTACACACAGTCACGACGTATAGACCTGGCAACGAAAGAGATAAACGAACAATTATATATTTTCTGAAACCAGAAACCTTAGAGAATACAGTTGTGGTAGTTGCAGAATATTTGAGCAGTTCTTTATCAAACGCGTATTTTCAGGAAAAATACATTACATTGAATGTTAGTGCAAACAAACACAGTATCACATCCAAGTTTTTTGGTAAAACATAAAAGATCAAGAAAATAGATACCAAAAATTGTCAAGCCTTAAAATGGCGCACGACCATGAAGTTGCATGAACCATGAAATTGCAAAAAACTATAGTAACCAAAATATTCCATAAGTGAAGCTTTAAAAGATTTTCAGGTTATCAGTCTTTAGGTATCCATTATTTATGGAGTTATTGCTCTCACTCCGACATTCACAGTGATACCTCATATGTGTGGCAGAATTTATGTTTACATACACAATACCCAATTTGTATTTTTATTTATTTTATATAATTTAATTTTATGCTATTTTTTTTTTATCTTTTCATTATATCATTTTTGTACTATTACAAGGTGACTAATAAGTCCCCAATGTGATAGCATTTTGCAAGAGGCAGGTCCTCTTTATGAAGATATTGGGGGTCTATTAGATTCCTAATGTTTCCTCTCCTCTGTAGCTGATCAAGCACAGATCGTGTTATATTAGCTACATCTTCGGCTATGACAGACAAGGAATGACAGCTGCAAACACCTAATACATGTCGCTTAATGGTTCACTGATCATAGGAGGAATCAGGGGATGGATGTTCCCTGTTTCTCTTCCATTCTCACTAAGGATGGTGTTTACTGTGGTCCTGGGTTCTCAATAGGAATAGCAGAACCCGGGAACCACCGCAGGAGCCACCAGGAGGGTTGGACAGGACACACCTTCAAGCTTACATAAGACTTCTTTTCCTTGCTTCATAGGCAAGCAGAGTGCTGGAGAAGCAAAAGGAAAAAACATGTAAGGGTGGTAGGGTGGTGGGGGGGGGGGGACAAGAAAAAGCACATTTTATTGTAAGAATTTTGATATATGGCCCCAGTGCACCAAAAAAAAAAAAAAATCTACCTGAATAATTCATGTGGCTTTATCAACGGAACAGTTAGATTATATTATAATAATCCTGGTGAAGTAATAGTAATACTGCTGTTCTTTTTATACTTTTTTAGCCTAATATTACATGAACTTTATATATTATGACTGGACTGTAAAATATTTAACCTGATAAGTGTGTTAAATACACATTTCATTTACATTGAGTGATGCATACTGTGGATCAAAGATGTTCTTATTGTGGTACGTGGTAAATGTTAAATCTGTTCAGGTACACTTTTGAAAAAGATTTTTTGTTTAGAGCAGAACATCTAATCTTACTTCTTATAAATAAAAAATAGCTTGTGTTATATTATCTATGTGTAGTATTTTATAATATTTTGCTGTTGTCTTTACGGTCAAATTGCAGACTTAGCAAATCAGTTTCAGAAAAAAGGTGATTTTATTAATTTAACATATTAAAACATACAGTAAGTGCCCACTCTGCATTTTAATAACGCTGGTAGCATTAGCTGTATAAGTCGCATTAAAAACACAAGTTTTTCAGAGTTTTTTAGTGTTTTTGCATTAGCGTTTAGCCGCGTTTTTTCCATGTTTGTCTTTTTTTGCAGTTTAGCATTTTTTTTTTTTTTTTTTTACACAAAAAAAATGTTTTGTTAAAAAAGGCCACAAATGCCAATTTGTCATGTTTTACCGTGTTTTTCAGCGTTAGAGAATTTTTACAGCTAAAAAACTCCTCTAGAAACCCACTAGTTCTGGATTTTTTCCCCAGCCAAAAAATGCTGATTAAAGCCTATGCGTGCATGAACACATAGGAAAACTTGATGGCATCACCCCTACTGCAGACGTGTATTTACACGAAACGCGTCTAGGAGGAGCCCTCGTACGCCTTGACGTCACGCCGCCGGATCAGGAGGTCTGGCGGCCCACACTTGATTTGTACTGGTCAGTGCTTGTTTGGGTGCTTCTTATGATTGCTCATAGCAGTCTCTTGTAACCTTTTCAGTTGCTTATGTACGTAATTGTTTTTATTCGATACAATACATTTATTATTCATAATACTACACTATGAGCACCTTTATTCCCCATACCTGGCACTGAGCCTCCATACCTCAGCACCAGTATTTCAGGCACTGCTGCAGACCTGAGGATTAAGCACCTTGTGACCAGACCTGTATCCTTCTCATATACCATTGAGGGACCACCAGAGGATCCTAGCACCAGGTTGTTTCCACCCGGGACCCCAGGATGCATCTGATCTAGATATGCGCAATGATATTGTGCTTCTGGTGAGTAGGCAATCTATTCATACCTCTACAACAGAAGATTGGATCATACTCACAGTGATTGATATTTTATGGTGGACTACATAACTCATATTATGATAAGATTAGTGGACTTATATCAGTCACATATTCTGTTATGTTAAAGGTTTTATTTGTCTTATTTTGATTTAGCGCTGCACTCCCTGCTTTATGACATAGGAAAACTTGCTGGGAAGTTTACTGTCTGTAGAAAAAAAAAAAAAGCAAAAAGCAAAAACAGCAGCTGTAAACACATCCAGTGTGCATGAGGACTTAGGGTTATTTGGGATAATATAGCTAAATCTAAAAATATCTGGAAAAAAAAAAACAAGAAAAAAAAAAAAGACAATTTGCATCTGATTAAAGAACAAATAAATGACCAGCACAAACAGCTAACACAAATTAATTTACCTATTACTAAGGGCTGTGGCAGAGACGTGCCCTTCTCTTACATACTTTTTTGTTAAAAGGTGTCTTTCTTTATCATTTCCGAAGGTTGAGAGGTTCGTTGTACAGTATCTCTCATCTTCAGTATATATGGGGGTAACAGAAGCCTATGTCCTCTGTTACAGGACTAAGTAGAGGCATAAATGAGGCACAACTGTCATGAAGTTTTTTCAGCTTTGTTATTTGGAACCATCACATTGTTTTCCTGATTATGGGGAACAAAGTTTTCATTACTCGCTATAAATCTTTTTTTTTTTGTAAGGACAACAGCTATGAGTTTCAAAAATTAAAATTTGTCAAAGAGAAACCATATGAGTTGCTTCAGTTTCTCCCTTTTGTTCCTAATCTGTACTGGATGGAAAATACAATTAACTGGTTGTAACTGAGCTTGTTGGATAATTGAATAAAAAGAGCACTTGTCACTGGCCTACTGGGCAAGTGAGGCCTTAGATAAATTAGATAAAGTAGTCTGAAAATAGATATTTTAAGATTTATAAAATCTAAGCGACTTGGTGTTTTAGGAAGAGAAAGTATTCCCGCTTTATGATAAAGTTGAACTTTATGGAAATATAAAAGAGACTAGTTAAAGTGTTACTACACCCA